GGAAGAAAGACATTAAATATACAAACTTATATAATTAGTCGTCATAAATGACAAGAAAAACACAGGATGCAACAAGTCATGAACCATAGCATGTTTTTCACACTACAGAATGTGACCCAGTTGTGGGGACCAGTAACTTTTAAACTTCTATTAGTTCTTCAGGGGCCAGCTCAGTAAGTAATCCCTTTCCAAGATACCTAAACCCACCTCATCAGAGTAAGACATCTCTCCACTAAGATTCTATGCCTGCTTAGCTTTATATTGAATTTGTAAGTATTTGAAAACTGTATATTCAACTTTTCCCCACTGGATTCTGAGCTCCTTGAAAGTAGGGCCTCAGACATTCGTCTTAATGCCTAATACTTGCTAGTCATTCATTTAGAAGCATTTACAGAGTGCCTACGTAATAAGGACTAGGCTGCTGGGCACTGAATTCATTTACTTATCCATCTATCCATTTACATCACGGTGCCCAGAGCATGTAAGGCACTCAATAAATGAACTGAATTGGATGTTGCACCTGAAATCAGTAATCCATGCCTCTGAAGAAAATGCTGCTGTACAGCCCTCTGCAAACATCCAAATGGTATTTTAATTAATTAAAAATCTCCTTTACTCCCAAATAGAGGCATATAAGTCTACATTCTCTCAGAGAAATGAATTTAGGAATCTATCTTCCTGCTATCACATCACCAAAGTTTCTGCTATTAAAATATTTCATCAATTTTTCTGAATTGACAATGAAATTGGTACTGACACTCCCAGTGGGAAATACCACCTTAACAAAGCTGCAATGTGTGGAGACTGACATAAAGCAATGCTCTTGACAAGTACCCTTCTCAAAGGAACCAGCAAACCTCAGTTTCTAAATGACAGTGACCCGCCACAATTCCTAAGTAGACTCTTTCTAGCCAACATTACATAGATCAAAACTCTGAGCTTCTCTCACCGGTCAGATAAGAAATTGGATGCTACAGAAGTTAAGTAGTTCAAAACAACTCTGGTGAGGGTAAGGAGAGTCTTTCTTTTGATCCCTTTGACTATACAAGACACTCGTTTTTGTAGAACTGAACTTAAGAAAATGAACATAAGAAACACCAAATTGGGCTCCCAAATGACTTACTTTCTCCTGAAAGTAGTTTGCTGACAAGTTATAAATTTCCACAGTGCCATCTGTTCTTGAAACAGCCAATCTGTTTGATTGGTTATTGTAAGCCACACAGCGGATCCCTGATGGAACATAATTAAAGAAACGAACTCGATGGACTTTAAATTCAC